CTCTCACACACAATAAATAAATAAAAATTTTTTAATTTTTTTAACGCTTATTTATTTTTGAGACAGAGAGAGAGCATGAACGGGGGAGGGTCAGAGAGAGAGGGAGACACAGAATCTGAAGCAGGCTCCAGGCTCTGAGCTGTCAGCACAGAGCCCGACGCGGGGCTTGAACTCACGGACCGTGAGATCATGACCTGAGCAGAAGTCGGACACTTAGCTGACCAAGCCACCCAGGCGCCCCTAAACTTTTTTTTTTAAACGTTTATTTATTTTTGAGACAGAGAGAGACAGAGCACGAATGGGGAAGGGGCAGAGAGAGAGGGAGACACAGAATTGGAAGCAGGCTCCAGGCTCTGAGCCATCAGCCCAGAGCCTGACGCGGGGCTCGAACTCACGGACCGCGAGATCGTGACCTGAGCTGAAGTTGGACGCCCAACCGACTGAGCCACCCAGGCGCCCCCTAAACTTTTTTTTAATGATAAACTTCTGGGGTGCCTGGGTGGCTCAGTCGGTTAAGCGTTTGACTCTTGATTTTGGTTCAGGTCATGATCTAATGGTTCATGAGATTCAAACGTGAGATAGAATCCCACAATCTCTCTCTCCCCCGTCTCTCTCTCTCAAAATAAATAAATAAATAAACTAAAAAAATTGATAAACTTGTAGCAAGACTGATAGAGACAGAGCAAGAGGGAGACTGAGAGGAAGGGACAGAGAAAATATTAATAACAAAACCAGGAGTGATAAAGTGCACATTGATAGAGATGTTTCAGACATTAAAAAGATAGAGTTCTTAAGAACAAGTTTATGCCAACAAATGAGAGAATTCAAACAAAATGGACAAACTACTTGAAAAGTGCAACCAAACCTGAAACCAAAATTAGAAAGTCTGAATAGTCCCTGGGGTACCTGGGTGGCTTAGTCAGTTAAGCATCTGATTTTGGCTCAGGTCATGATCTCACCCATTCCTGAGTTTGAGCCCCGTGTTGGGCTCTGTGCTGACAGCTCAGAGCCTGGAGCCTGTTTCAGATTCTGTGTCCCTTCTTGCTCTCTGCCCCTCCTCCACTTGCATTCTCTCTCTCTCTGTCTCTCCTTCAAAAATAATAAACATTAAAATCTGAATAGTCCTATGTCTATTATAGGAAGTAAATCTATCATTTGAAAGTGTTCAAAACTACCTCTCTAAGCTCATATCGTTTCACATGTGAATTCTTTTGAAACATTAAAGAAAAATTAATACCATTCTTATATAAATTATTCCAAAAGCAGAAATAGAAGGCACAATTCCAACTTATTTTAGAAGAATAACATAACCTTGATACAAAAACCTGTCAAGAGGAGGCGGGTGGTGGTGATGGTTGCACAACACTGTGAATATACTTAATACCAATAAACTGCTTAAAAATGGTCAAAATGAATCTTCTGTGTTATGTGTATTTTACCACACACACACACAAATACCTGTTGACATCATTAAAAGAAAGGAAAAATATAGGTTAACATCTCTTGTGAACATAAATGGAAAAATCACAAAATATTATCAAGTTGAATAAGCCATATATAAAAACATAATACTTCATGATGAAGGCTTTATTCCAGGAATGCAGGGTGGCTTAATAATTGAAAATTAATCAGTGAAATTAAGCACATACACAGACTAACAGGAGAACCCGTATGATACCTCAGTAAAGGGAGGAAGCATTGATAAAAATCAACACTCTTACCAAACTAGGCATAGAAGGGAGTCTCGCTGATCTGATAGGGCATCTGAAAACATCTTCAGGCTTACATTTTGAATGCATTCCCTCTGAGATCAGAAACAAGCCAAGGATTTCCTTTTTCACCAGGTCACCACTTCTGCGTTGTACTAGAGGTTCTAGCAAGTGCAATAAGGCAAGAAAAAGAAAGAAAAGGTATAAAGGTTGGAAAGGAAAAACTAAAACTATCATTATTTTATATCGTAGGCTTGTATAGGGACGAAATCCAAAATAATCTACAAGCTATTAAAAGTAGAATGTAAATTTAGCAAAAGGTTTTTGGACACAAAGTATATAAAAATCAATTGTGTGTTTCTACATACTAGCAACAAATAATTAGGAAATGAAATTTTTAAAAACCGCATTTAAAATAGCAACAATAATAAAAAATCATGGGGCACCTGGGTGGATCAGTCAGTTAAGCCTCCAACTTTGGCTCAGGTCATGATCTCACGGTTCGTGAGTTCAAGTCCCGCGTCGGGCTCTGTGCTGACAGCTCAGAGCCTGGAACCTGCCTCAGATCCTGTGTCTCCTTCTCTCTGCCCCTCCCCTGCTCATGCTCTGTGTTACTGTCTCTCAAAAACCAATAAATATTTTTAAATGTAAAAAAATAATAAATCATAAAATACCTAGGAATGAATCTAACAAAAGATGTGCAAAACCTTTACAGAGAACGCTCCAAAACATTACTGAGAAAAATTAAAGAAGACCTAAATAATTGGAAGGCTATTTCATGTTGATGGATTGGAAGAATCAACATTGTAAAAATGTATATCCTTCCCAAATTGATCTATAGATTCAATTTAATCTCAATCAAAATCCCAGCAGGTTTTTTGGGTGGAAATTAACAAAGCTGGTTCTACAATTTATACATAAATGCAAAGACCTATAATCGCCAAAATGATTTTGAAAATGAACAAAGTAAATTCTATTTGATTTCAAGTTTGTCTGTCAATTACAATCATCAAGACAGTATGATATCAGAAGTACAGACATGTAGAGTACAGAGCTGATAACATTTATGAAGTCCATTTATTTTCTACCAAGATGTGCACCAAAGCAAATCAATCAAAAGATAGTCTTTTTAGGCCGCCTGACTGGCACAACCAGAAGGGCACGCGGCTCTTGATCTCAAGGTCATGAGTCCAAGCCCCATGTTGGGTGTAGAGATTACTTAAATAAACTTAAAAAAATCTTTTTTTATTAAAAAAAATTTTTTTTGACGTTTATTTATTTTTGAGACAGAGAGAGACAGAGCATGAACAGGGGAGGGGCAGAGAGAGAGGGAGACACAGAATCGGAAACGGGCTCCAGGCTCTGAGCCATCAGCCCAGAGCCTGACGCGGGGCTCGAACTCACGGACCGCGAGATCGTGACCTGGCTGAAGTCGGACGCTTAACCGACTGAGCCACCCAGGCACCCCAAAATAGTCTTTTTTTAAACAAATAGTGCTAAAATGGCTGGCTATTTATATGGCAAAAATGAGTCACAACCCATACCTTACACTGTATACAAAATGAATTGAAAGTGGATCACAGACATAAATTTAAAAGCTAAAACTATTAATTTCTAGAAGAAGAAAAAATAGGAGAATATCTTTATCTTTATGACATGGGGGTAGGCAAAAGTCTCTTCAAGAGTACACAAAAGCCCTTAATCATAAAAGAAAAGACTGACGTATTGGAGCTCGTAGAATTATAAGCCATTAAGAGAGTAAAAAGGAAACCAAAGAATAGGAGATATACTATTGACAACACATACTGACAACACATATAACTGACAAAGGGCTTGTCTCCAGAGTATATAAAGAGTTCCTACAAATTAATAATTAAAAAAAGACAATCTGATTTTTAAAAGAAGAGGGTAGGGATGAAGCAATAGACTTGAATAGGCACTTGACAAAAGATGTCCAAATGGCCAATAGGTACATAAAATGATGTTCATCATCATTCCTCATCAGGAAATACAGGTTAAAACCACAATGCACGATTATCATACCTCCACCAGTATAGCTAATATAAAAAGGACTAACAACTCTAAGTATTGGCAGGGGTGTTGTGCGACTGGAACTTCCAAACAGTGCTGGCAGGAGTATAAATTTGCATGATCACCTTGAAAAACTGGCAGTATCTATGATAGCATTTAATAAACACACGCCTACCCTGTGACCATACAATTCTCATACCCAACAGAAATGAGTACTTAGGTTCCTCAAAAGACATACGCAAGACTGTTCATGGAAGCCTTACTCACAGGAGAGTATCTATACTCAAGGAGAGCCTTGAGTATCTATACTCAAGGAGAATAGATACATAAACTCTGATATATTCATATGGAATACTACACAGCAGTGAAAGAATTACTACTGCACTCAACAACATAGATGGATGTCATGAAGGAACATGGAAACAATGGTGTCTACTTCATTTACGTGAAGTTTAAGGCCAGGGCAAAATAATCTAGGGTGGTAAAAGTCAGTCGTCCATAGTATGTGCCAAATATGTGCCAAAGCCTGTGAGAGGAGAGAGTGAGACCCCCTGGATGTGAGAGGTGGGAAGGTGCCAGTTAATATATATATATATATATATATATATATATATATATATATA